GTGTTGTCTTACCAGTTTGCTGCACTGTTCAGTTATCCGAAAAAGATATTTTCCACTTGGGCAGAACAGAACATTAGAAGAAGAAATAGTAAAATTTGTAAGGAGTGAATTTGAAAGGAAAATCTGAACATAATGAGACAGATATTGTATGTTTCTTCCCTAATTGGAAAAGAAACTTGTATGCTTGGAAAAACAAAGCAAGAAGTGCACCAACTTAGCATCCTCACAGATTTCATTCTTTAAATAGCATAATCACTATTTACCGGGTGCTGTTGTGTCATGAAACTGGGAATTAGCTCAGTGCTTGATTCAGTCTCCACACCGAATGTCATCCTTACATTTGCCCTTGAGGAACAAACATTAACAGCAAATGGCCTTTAAAAGCAAAAGAAACTGTAAGATTTTTTTTCCGCAAGCAGGAAAATAAGACCTAATGGAAATACACAGGTGCCATTCATCTTATTACAATATATACATGCAAAAATGCCCATAGTTCCTGGGAGATTTTTTCAAAACTTTTTTCATGATTCACATCATGCACTCCGAGGTTATTTCCATTTTGGCCAGCTCTTGCATATAGAACTGGCACTGTGCCACAGGGGAATGTGGATCCCTGGAGCTGTTGAACAACAGGCAGCAATGTGCAGGAATCTGGTAGGATAACTTCAGTGCTGAGAGCACAACTAAATATAACAGTTGTAAAAGATATGATGTTCCTAACAGTCAAATAGCACTTAAAAAATATAAATTGATTTATTGAATCAACCCATAAAATGATATTGTAGTCAATGGGAACATCAGTTCCTGTGACAACCTGATTGGTTTTTTTGGGAGCCTAAATATCTTGCAAGTTTCCCATTATCCAGATATGGGAATTTTGTCCAGAGTACCCATATGTTGCTCCTGAAGCTCTTTGTGAAAGCAATATTTTTATAAAGAAAATATTTTATGCTTATCATATTAACTATTAACTTTAATGCAAATATGTGTTAATATTTTATTATGACGGAGCTGTAGACAAATGCTGGAGTAAATGACAAGTATTAATTTGTTTTCTTCTCTCCTTAGCTGTAGAAAGAAAGTGATAGGTCTGCAAAGCAAGGTGACTTCTTCAGCGTAGGTCATCTACAATGCTGTGGCTGTACAGCAAGTACACCTTTGTGACAAACAATTAACAGCAACTAATAAATAGAAATGGTATTTTTCATTTTGAATTCATAGGCTAAAGCTCACCTTGCATCACCATTTCTCAGATGTAAGCTTTTTGTAGGTAACAACGAACTATGAAAACACAATTCACTGAGGTGGCAGTAACAGAGAAATGGTTTATGCTCCAAGTGTTCTGCTAGCAAAACCTCACAAGGTCCTTCTCCAGCGAATGCTGGCAGGCAGGTGCAGGGGGCTCCTGTGGGCTGGGTTGGGGTAGTACTGGTGACACTCAGGTAAGGGGAGTGTTGGTTAATCCTCCTGTTATCACAGCGTGGGTATCTTCAGCTGGCTCCCCTTCTGCATGAGCAGCAGGACGCTCAGCCCAGGGAGCAGCGGCACGGCTGCGTGGCAGCTGAGGCCAAAAGAGGACCTGTCAGTCCAGACAACTGAACAAACGCCCAGGAATCAGACTGCTCTCATATGAAACCTTTGCCCCCTTGGTTTGCTGCTGATTTGGGAATTATGTCAACATAGGCAAACAGGGGAGATGGCAGATAGCCTGTGTCCATTTGAAACTGTTGGCAGAGGTCTAAAGGCATTTTAATGTGGATTTTTAACCTCTCCCTTTCCTGTCAAACAGTACCGTCACCCATGTGGACTTCAGGATGCATGCTGAGCCTGGCAGGCTTGCTCACTGTGTCTGTGTATATGTGATTTGGTACCTGATATAGCTTTTATGATTTCTTTAGCAACAGGCAACTGGATCGCTTCAGTTTAGAGGTTCAGGAATTTATTGTAAGCTGTTGCTCCCTACAACTTTAAAACAAAAACGTGAGAAATGCTATTTTTTCCAAGCTGTGGGCTACCAGGAGCAAACTTCTTGCCAGATTTCTCACGCACCGGTACCTTCAAAGCCAGCATGTGAGACTGCAGAGAAAGGCTTTGCTACTGTTAGCTTTGTTAAACATTAATGTCAGCTTCCTCCCTTTAAGCATACAAAGGGATAGAGGTTTGACAAACACACTCAGGCTGTGTCATTTGCTGCTTGACAAGGGAAGCAGGCAGAGGCTACAGCAAGGCATGTGGGGCTGAGGGAAGAATGCCTACGTCTCCATTCTGTACCTTTCCAGGAGGGAAGAGCTTCTGAGTAAGTCTGGGTAGGCTGAAGCGACAGCAGTGGTGGATGACTGTGTGCTTGTCTGAGGCTTGTCATTTCCCGTAACCAGTTTTGCAGGAGGGGGACTTTGTGCTCATAGGCAGGAACTCAACACCAGCCTTCTGCTTACTGAAGGTAGCTATAGGACTGGCTTTAATTGCCAGAGTATGCAGCTCTGGTGTAGGACTAGCAATTTTGTGGACTAAAACTCATTTTTACAGCCTTTCTCTTCCCCTCCTCCCGCTATCCTTCTTGCTCTCAGACAGAACCTAATCTCTCTGCATGGCTAAATGCTTGTTTCTTGTCTAGTTTGATGAGATTCCATTTTTTTCTCTTTAATTCTTAAAGGTGATTTTTAAGTTATGCAGCAGTAATCATACCCATGCTTTTGCCCTCAGATATTCCTCTGGATGACAATGTTTATGAGGAATGACACTTTGTTCTGGCATACTTGGGGTGCATACTTTGGATATACTAAACTAGATTTGGTTTTATTGTATAGAAAGTGTTAGTCCATTAGAGAGAGGCCACAGTTGTTTACACCTAGGCTGAATAGAACTATACTTTTCTAACTGCTGGCTAATTGCTGAGATGGAAACGCGGTGTAACATGCAGTGCTGCTGGCACATTTTTGTGTGTTGTGTTGGTTTTGATGCCTGGTTTCAGGGTTTTTTGGTGATTTGTTTGTTGGTTGGTTTTTTGTTTGTTTGTTTTTTTTATAATATGCTTTCTGGGTTATGAGACAGCCTGCATTTTTTTTCCCACTGAATAAATATCAGAAGTCACAGGTTTGTGCTTTTTAGGAAAAAATCAGTATTGTGAGTCAAACTCTGTGAGGTTCTGAGGGGCGTAACTTATGTTAGACTCTGGGCTTCAATTTGTTGATTCAAATACTCATTATTTGAGAGCCCGTGGATTACTGTAAGGAGTTTGTTGATAGTATCGTAGTCTTTGGAGAGCAAATATTGTCACAGCTGATGAGCTTATAAATGTCACTAGTTGGTTTTTCTTGCTGCCGTACACACAGGTGTTGGTATTGCCTCACTTGCACCACAGCATTTTCCTTTTCTTCCTGCTTTGCCTGATGCTTCCTGTAGTGACATGAAGCTTATTTTTGGCTCTGTCCTGAAAGGAAAGGATGGATGACAGGAGAAATATCTATTTGCTTTTAGTCGCTCTAAGTTAAAGTTTAGTTGCTCTAAATTAAGTAAAACTTGCAGTTTCTTATTACTGTGCAGCATTCCTGTTGCATGTCAGTGGTAGCAAAACGTTTTCATTGTTAGGGTTATGACACATACAAATTCTCTTATAAGAAGTAAAAAGTAAAGTGAAAAGTAAAAATGTATTGGGCAGCTCCTTATAAAACCTAATAGGCCAAGAGAAGAGTGTAAAACTAAATCCATGGTTTTATAAGAAGCCAAGGTCTTGTGAGAATGAAATGTTTATAAAGGATATATAAATCCTCCAGATGATATCCTGATTCCAAATTTAGGCTTGAAATCCCACAGCCCTTGTAGGTGTGGTGATGAAATCTGGTCTGGGAGGCTCATTTCAGCTGGATGAGTAATGGACACGTTTATGTTACCCTTGATCACAGTGAAGAAAGTCACGGGGAGTGTCTTTCCCTGACCTAACTCTGCTCCTGATGACGGTTATGGGCAGCAAAAAGCAGAGAGAAGCCAATGTCTGAATCTTTTGGAAAGTTTCCTTTAGATCATATTTCTGAATATTGGTGTGGGCAGTGCTCGAGTACTGGCTGATTGTTCTTCTGTTAATATTCAGTGAAACTGAATTAGGGCCAGATGTAGCCCTTGGTCAAGTTAAATTTGGCCTTGTCTGGACTCTTAGGTAAATAAGCATCATAGTAACAAGCATTGCAAGTCACAGCTTGGCTTTTTTTTCTTTTTCTTTCTTTCTTCTTTTTTTTCTTTTTCATTTTTCTTTTTCGGTTTATGTATGTATGCCAACAGATTGGGGAATAAATAGATCAAAGAGTTTTTCAAAGATGCATTCAACTAAAAAAAACCCCAACAACTCTTGTTAAGCCAATTTTTTCTGCATGATACTCAGTAGTGGATATGCCCAACATATTTCCTCATTTTCCTGGCTTGTTTAGCTAAATGAATAGAATGAAACATACAGTAACCAGTCAGATATAGTGGTATAATTTAATTTTCAATGCAAATGCTTTTAGATGAAACTTTGTTCTTTGTAAGTGTACATTTGTATCAGGTCAATGCCTTAAATCTTCCTGCAATACGTTTTGCCTCAGTTTGCACATTTAGTAACTTCTCTTTAGTAAGTCTTGATTTATTGTGAAATAAGCCAGAAGAAAATCAAACCCTGATGCACAGATATTTAAAGAAAGTGAATAAGAGGGAATGAAAAAAAATTCCCTCATAAATTCAAGCAAAGTATGTTATTTCTTGTTAATCTGAATAAATCCATTACACTGGCAAGGTTTTGGTAGCAGAGGGGCTACAGGGGTGGCTTCTGTGACAAGCTGCTGGAAGCTTCCCCCCATGTCCGACAGAACCAGTGGCAGATGGCTCCAAGATGGACTTGCTGCTGGGCAAGGCCGAGCCCATCAGTGATGGTGGCAGCGCCTCTGGGATGATGTATTTAAGGGGGGGAAACATTTATTGCGCAGGAGCAAATGCAGCCAGAGAAGAGAAGAGTGAGAATATGTGAGAGAAACAACCCTGCAGGCACCAAGGTCAGTGCAGAAGGAGGGGGAGGAGGTGCTCCATGAGCTGGAGTAGAGATTCCCCTGCAGCCTGTGGGGAAGCAGGCTCTGTCCTTGCAGGAGGACATGGAGGTCCATGGGGATGCAGACATCCACCTGCAGCCCATGGAGGACCCCATGCCAGAGCAGGTGGGTGCCCAAAGGAGGCTGTGACCCCGTGGGAAGCCCATGCTGGAGCAGGGTCCTGGAAAGACCTGTGGACCCGTGGAGAGAGGAACCCACTCTGGAGCAGGTTTGCTGTCGGGACCTGGGATCTTGGGGGGAACGCACGCTGGAGCAGGCTATTCCTGAAGAACTGCACCCTTTGGAAGGGACCCACACTGGAGCAGTTAATGAAGAACTGCAGCCTTGGGAAGGAACCACCTTGGAGAAGTTTGTGGAGAGTTGTCTCCCGGGGGAGAGACCCCATGCCAGACCAAGAGAAGAGTATAACCGTCTCCCAAGACCCCATGCCAGAGCAGGGGAAGAGTGTAACTGTTTCCCATGGGAGAGAACCCATGCTGGAGCAGGAGAAGAGTGTAACTATCTCCTGTGGGAGAGACCCCATGCCGGAGGAGGAGAAGAGTGAGAGGAGTCCTTCCCTTGAGGAGGAAGGAGCGGCAGAAACAGCGTGCGATGAACTGACTACAGTCCCAACTCCCGAGGACCCAACGCTGCTGACGGAAAAGAGGTAGAGAAAACTGGGAGTAAAGTTGAGCCCAGAAAGAAGGGAGGGGTGCAGGGAATGGTGTTTTTAAGGTTTTATTTCTCATTATCCTACTCATATTTGACTGATAATTAGTTACTCACCTTTTTTCCCCAAATGATGTTAGTGTAATTGGTGAAGAATCGCTTCCTGTCCTTATCTTGACCCGTGAGCCTTTTGCTATGTTTCTCTCCCCTGTCCAGCTCAGGAGGGGGAGTGACAGAGCAGCTTTGGTGGGTACCTGGCATCCAGCCACATCTATGCACACTGGAAAGTGTACCAAGGGTCATGTTTGTCATCATAGCTGGAATTTATTTTGCATTTCCACAAGGTCAGAGCCTCTAAAGAAAATTATGATAAGAGAGGCTGGGGGCGTAAACTTTTGAAATCTTTCCTCCAGATACAGGATGCGGCCTCCAAAGAAGAGACACGTTGTATACTCAACATGTATGGGGTAGACTCTTAATCTGTGTATTTTATGTTATTTCATCTGTAGTTATGATCCTTTGCTCCTCTCACCATGGAGACCCAAAAACATGGAGTGTATCTGTGCACGTCAGGCAGTGCAGCTGTGGTCTGTGGTATAGGTTTGCCTGCTCTGTACACGATGGTATGAGGGATATCAGCTCACTTATAGGTCAGCATAAGTCAAGGCAGGCAGTGGCAGCTTCTGAAATGCTGTTTGTACTCTCAGTCTGTCCTGATACAGAAGCTGTGCTGCAAGTCTGTACTAGTTATTCCTTCTGAACATATCCAGTATTACATATCACTTGAGCATGTATTTGTAGTATTTGAGAAAGCAGAGTGTCTGTGTGTTTCCTTCTCTCTGCCTTACTTTGACACCTTAATGTCATCTTGCACTTAGCAACTGTTCCTTCTCTTTTCTGCTTTTTCAGGTGCTGAAAAAAAGTCCTGCATCTGATTTTTTTTTTTTCCTTTCAGTTGTTTACATAAAAGTCATGTGTTGTGAGAAATATTATTAGTGCTTCTTACAAAAGAAAAAAAGAAGTGTAACTTTTGGTAGGAAAACTGTTTTGACCATCTTCAAAGGCTGTAATGAATGTCAGTGTATGGGTGAGAGGCAGACAACTGTTGGGGTGCAAGGGACTGGAAAGTTCACAGAGGATGGTAATACCCTTGGTTGTGTTGGAAAAATAGTCCAAATTTGAGGCACAGAGGTCTTTCGAGACCTAGGCAGGTGGAAATTCACTCTTCAAAGGGACAAAGGAGAGAGGGTAAAACTTATAAAATGAAGTTAAAGATGAAGAACAAGGGCACATTTCTCTAGTCATATCACTGTAAGAGTAATACAGTAACAAACAAAAAGCTGTCAGACTGCTTCACCCATGTTTTAGAAACATGCACAGAAAGTGCCCTTCAGGGAACAGATAAACTTTCTTAGCGTGGTGTGCTGATATTATGCCATTGCTTCAGCTTTTTGCTTATGGAGGAGGAGTTTGCAGGAAGTTAAACTGAGTGGCTGTAGTTGTCTTGACAGCAGGATGGCACCCAGTTGCTGGCCAGAGATGAGACCCCTCAGAGGCCTGAGTACTCTTTAGACAAAGTTTGAAATCAGAATTAGTCTTTCTCTTCCCCTGCCTCAGATAGTCCATGTTACTCCTGTCCGACCTTCACAAGGCATGAGCTTCAATTGCATGGCAGTAAGACAAGGTTGGGTCCGATCGGCTGTATCCAAACAGGGCTGATGTTGGGGTTGTTCTGGATTCACAGAGATAATGTAGGAGCTTCTATTCTGCTGGGATTTTAAAATTTATTTTATTTTGTTTTGCTTTTGATTTTATTTCCTATGCGGTGCAGTAACTCCAGGAGCAGCACAGACATTCTCAGATCTTTTCAATCACTTTGGTGTTATCCTCTGTGACATACTGTATTTTCTCCAGATGTTTCAGGCCTCACACTTCCTGAATTGTGATAGTGGTAGTTGAAATGATGACAGAAATTAAGAATGCCTTTTTCATAGCAGGTAGATGAATAATTGCTTTCAGCTTCATAACCTGCACTTCTAGGATGCTTTCTCACTGTTTTAAATAAACTACTTTACAAAACCAGAAAACTGACAAAAAGAAATCTTTACAGAAAGACCTCAGTGGACCTCTGCAGCACACTGGGGACCAGAGCTAAGCTGAGGGGAAGGAAAATGGTGGATACTGGTAGGAAAGGCAAACGAAAAACTTTATTCTCAAAGCAACTTCTCTGAGTGGATGAGATTAAAAAGGTTTGTTAAGGATGGGATGGAGTCCTGAATTCCTATTATTTTTCTGTTCCTATTATGTATTTATTCTTGGGTCTATTTGATGAAGTTTTACATGACCTAGAGGTTGATTTATATGTGAAGCAGGGAAAGCAGACTTGGCTGTATCCTGTATTAGTGTGCAGCCAGGACTTGGGACTTTTTTACTTCCAGTTCAGTTATTTTCTTTATGGGTATAGAGTATTTCAGTAAAGCATACAGTGACCTTGTAAGGTTTTCTGACTTGTCAGAGCAGAAAAGGGACGAGCCTATTTTACAACAACTTTTCCAAACCAGAATTCCAGACTTGGAGGTTGCCAAATGCAGAATGCCCTCAGATATCTTAAAAACTAAGCATCACAGTTCACAAAAGTAATTTTTAACCCTTCCCAAATTGTGTGCATGTAAACACAGAAAAGTTGGAAAGTTTTGGCAGAATTAGTTCCACAGAGTTTATTGCTCTGATATTCCAGGACAGATAAACAAGCATGTTGAAAAATCACCCGTGCTTTAAAGAAGCAAAGCTGAGAGCTTCTGTGTACACCAGGGTTTTGAACAGTCAGCATGTTTAGACATGCTGTTAAAGAACAAGTTTCAAGGACTGGCAGTTCTTAAATAGACAAATAAGGGTTTGTGCATTCTGCTTGGTTTAAGAAAATGCCATCACTTACTGTGTTGCCACTCCCTCTCCAATGGAACTCCCAAGGCCTTAAGAAATCAGGTGAGACTAAAACATGCTGAGCTGATTCCAGAACATAATAAAAACAGTGGAACTATAACAGTGAAAATATCTACAAGTTATGGGAAAAGGCTAACTAAGAGAGGAATCCATTTTTCAACTTTGAATCGTGTTTTTTAGGGAGAAAATGAGAGATGGTCCTATAAACCTGTGCACTGTACCTTGGGGGAAAAGAGAGAATGACTTACTCTGACACCTCAGGTCTTGATTTTTGATATTTTTTTTACAGTCAGCTTCTTATCACTGTGATGGAAGGTACAGCACAGGCTCATTGATCTTTGCCTTGGGTATTATTTGTGTCTGGACAGCGAGGGTGAAAAAGGTTTAAATGTGATTTAGAAATGGTTTAAAAACCATCCTGCGCTTGCCTTTTAACAGAGCAGAAGATTGCCATAAATCTAGGGTGGCAGGGAATCTAGCCCTCTCAGTCTAGAAACTTAGAAACTTCTTGGCAAAGGCACGTACCTAGAGCACGCTGATTGATCACATTTTATTTTACAGTCATTTGTCACTGTCAGATTTGTCTTGCTGTCTTTGCTTTACAGATCCAGTCTAATTCAAGTATTTAGGATCTGACTCATCAGCGTTGATTTTTTTGCCCTTTTTTTGTACAGTTGTAGACCACAGTTGCCACTTCACATAATTTACTTTGGCAGAATGATTCCTGCATTCCTATTGCTTCTGAGCCATAAAAGCAGAGTTTAGCTGCAGTCAGCTGCAATTGTGTGTACTTCTCTTCATGAACTCCCTGCAAAGACCCAGAGCCCTAGAGGGGTGTTAAAGGCAGGAATTCATCACAGCACCCCCACAAATATGTCCCACAATTTTTGTCACTAACTCGGTACTACCTTGGAGCACAGAAACTGAAGCTTTTAGAAACCACACACAGAACTTGGTTTTTTTTTTTTATTTCGCAGTCCTGGTGTCCTATAATTTTGAAACTAGCTCTGATATGGTTTCGTTTTTCATGTAAATGGAAACTATCAAAATCCCTTGAGGGGAAAAAATTCAGAAGTACAAACAGAAAAATAATTGGTGTTTCTATTTTTGTTCTATCTTTAAACATTCTCTGATTTGTTGTCCGCCTTGATTTTATTGCCTCATTCTCTAAGTGCTGGGACTTTTCCATCACTACACATGTTCATGAGAGTGAGCCTATTTCAAACAGTCTTATAATGCAAATCCACTTTTCAGTTTAGAAAGTTCCTGTCCTGTTTTTGTCGCAATCCCAAAGTCAACAATAATGGGAGGAGGTTATCTGGAATGCAGATTTTCGGGGATTTTGAGCCATACTCCTGGTGAGAGCTCAAAAATCATAAAGGGTCTGGTGGAAGAGGGCTTGTTCTGTTACCACTTATATCACTTTCCTTCCCAAGTCAGAGGCAAGATATGACAAGTACTGCTTACTTCATTCTCAAGTTGAATCAGCTCAAAAACCACCTTCTTACTGTGCTCCCATCACTTCAGTGTGAAAAGTTCACCTCCTTTACTCACCATAAGCTCTTACTTAGGTTTAAGATAATTAAATGTAATCTGTAATTATCTACTTGAGTTATGTAGAAAATTAAAATGCTATGTGCTGTGAGAGCACAGAATATACTGTAATAGAAAGGCTTACTGTCAAATGAAAGTGGTTTTAAAATCAGAAGTGCAGGGGGTCCCTTTGCTTTACAGATTTGCAGCAGTCACTGTTATTGCCTATCTGTCCCCTCTGGTGAGAATGTAGCTAGGGGTGAGGAAATGAAAGGAAATGGCACATTGTCACAATGCTGAATCATTTCTGCTCTGTCCAGTGGTTTGTTCCATAACTCACCTCGAAGTGCAACCAAACCACTGATTGCTAGTGTTTGAGAGCAAAAAAGTGGACTTCTCCTAGTTCTTTGGATGAAAGCATAGAGGAAAATTATTCCTAGTTCTTGTATAGAGAGAGGAAGAGGGAATTTTTTGAGAAGTGTCCTTCATCATTGCTTTAATCAAGTGCTTGAAGGTTTTTTG